GGTGGGGGCGGAGGGGCCGTTTGGTCCGTGGGACGGGTCGGGGGTCGGGGCCCCGTCCGCTGGGGCTGGCGTGTGTACCCGGGTTCACCCCCACCTCCCTGGGGGAGTCTCCAGAGCACACCAGTGGAAATTCTGACTTCTGGGCTGCCCTTCAAGTTGTGTTCGATTAGCTTCATGACACAGGCAAGTTATTGGGTTTCTCCGTGTTTTTCAGCCCGACTCATGAAGATAATTATACTTCCATTCATTTACTCTTCTAACAAACTTATTGAAATTAAGCTTTGGATACTCTCATAGATCACCCTTTGAAAACTCATTAGGGTTTCACAGTTATGATTGCTTTTCATTAATTCTGTTCTTATTTAAAACATTACTCTTTAAGTAGCGGTACTGCCAGTGTCATAATCCTCGCCCGCCCGATCTGTTTTCTTGGGTTACTCGAGAGTTCACCAGGCCCCACTCCTGCTCTTTCTAGGTGGCGGGGCAGCCGCTGAGCCCCTCCCCGCAGCCGTCTCAGCAGGGGCTCAGCCCCGCACACATCCCGGGCGGCTCCTCGGCGCAGGGCCAGCCCCAGGGCTCCACCGTCCAGCACACGTACCTCCCCAACACCTGGAATTCCTTCCGTGGCTACTGTAAGTGAGGGGGGTGCCCCAGGGCACGGGTGGGGAGTCTGCAGCCCTGGGGCGGAATTCCATCAGCTTTATAATCAAACGTTCCGGATGAAAGGGTCATTGGTCATTTTCTACACTCTGTAGAGCATGTACTTGAAATGAGTTTCACCACAAAATTCAAGGCGGCGTCTGGTCTCGGGGCCGCCCCGATGGGACGTTTTCTGGAGACATCGGGAATATTGCTGGAGGCAGGCTGTTTAAATAGTAGAACAGGTGGAGGTAGGTATGTTGGTGGTAATGATTCACCTGTTCCACCCATATCTATCGATGCCTGTACATCCACCCCTGTGCTAGATACTGCAAATGCAGAAGGTTAACACTGACGTTCGTGTAACACCACACAATAAGGTTAGCCAGCGTCCCTTAAGCTCTTACTATGTGCAGGGATGATTCTAAAGCACATCTATTTCACATCCAGTATTCACAGCAACCTCCCACATAAGTACAATTGTCACTTGCACTTTATAGTTAAGGCAACTTAGACGCAGAGTAATCTGTCCAAGGAACAGAGCTAGTGAAGGGAGGACGGGAACCCAGGCAACCTGGCTCCAGAGTTTACGCTATACACCAGCTGCCCCTCCTAATGAGGGTGTTTTGGACTCAAAGAGACCGTCATCTCAGAGATGGATGACTGAGTAGTTGGTTTCAAACCCTGAGGTTAGTGCTACCGAGAGCAGTTTAGGCTGGCTGCCAAAAGTCAGACCAGGCGAATCTTGGTAGGGGCAACGGCCTTGGGCACGGGCTGGAAAATAGGAGACCTTCATCACTGACGATGTGGGAGGAGCAGGAGGAGTGGCAGCTTGGCAGCAGGCACAAGGAGGAATGGCTGTGTTGACCTTTCTCCCACCACGGATGTCTTTTTTGGGGCCCCTCTCTGTTGTGGTCGGTCTTCGGCTGTGTTAGGTGGCTTTAGCATGGAGACAGGCTCAAACGCTACCGTTTCGTTATTTCCACAATCTATTCTCTTAAATCCGGGTGGCCACAATGACAGCTGAGTCTCCTTCCTGTCAAGGAAGGTCCCCTACTCCCGAGAAACCCTGGTGGAGTCCTGGTAAGCAGACTGATATTTATACTCAGTTTAATTCCTCTGAGAGGAATAGAATGATGCCGACAGCCACGGGAAAACTAGTAAGAACCAGCATTCTCACCTGATGACAAGATCTGAAGCTGAAGTTTTTTGTTAGGGAAAAAGTTTAAAATGCACAAAAATAGAAGTGTCACGAACGCCCTGCAACCATCATCCAGCTTCAGCGGTTTTCAGCTCGTGGCCAGTCCTGGCTGACGTGGACCTGCTGCCATTCTTTCCCACGGAGCTGTGCTTTTTCTTTCTTTTTTTTTTTTTTAAACAAAACACAACTCTAGTGCTGGTATCACACCTCAAACTAAATGACAGTACTTCTTTACTACCATCAAATATCCAGTGTTCATATTTCCATGATTGTCTTATAAATGTTTTTTTAATAGTCAGTTTTTCAAATTGGGTTCCAAATAAGGGCCATACATTGCAATTACATCTTTTGAGTTTCTTTTAATATATGTGCTTTCTCTAAAGTTCCAATTTATGTGTTGAAGAAACTGGGTCATTTGTCCAGTAGAGGTCCCCACATTCTGGATTTTGTTGTTGACATCCCTGTATTGTCATTTGAGATGCTGTTCCTCTGTCCTTTGTGTTTCCTGTAGGCTGGCAGTGAGACCCAGAGGCTTGATCAGATTCAGACTCAGTCCTCTCCCCCCAAGACACTCCACAGCTGGTGGTGTGTGCCTCCACCAGGAGGCACCTAATGTTTGCCTGGCCCCCTTTCCCTTTGCTCCACTGTTTCACTAGGGATCACAGAGCTGTCGTATTCTGAGTCTTTCGTTCTTTATTCACTTATTGCTAGAAAACCTCTGTAAAGAACAGTTTTATCAGGGGAAGGGTATAGCTCAAGTGGTAGAGTGCATGCCCAGCACACAAGAGGTCCTGGGTTCAATCCCCAGTACCTCCTCCAAGCAGAAATAAATGAATAAACCTAATTACCTCCCCCTCATAAAACAAAACAAAAAGAACAATTTTATCTTACCAGGTTACTCTGAGGTACAGTCTGTACAGGAATGCTGGGATAAATGCTCTAAGTACCCAGCTCATCTCCTTTATTTACCAGTTTTCAAAACAGTGGGTTGTTTGCTAGTGTTACCTAGGGTGACCAATGATGGGTGTGTGTGTGTCTCAATATCACTGGGTACGCATGGATCTCTACACACCTGACGTGGTTCAAACCATTGCAGCCGCCATCCTGGTTGATGTTCAGGTCACCCCATCTTTGTCTAATGGGAACATCTTCATATTGGCCCCTGTATCTTTTCCCCATGACCCTGCAGCTTTTTATAATGTCTTACATGCTGTTATGACACCATATTCCAGGCTCACCTGACACATTTTCTGCCCCAGGTCTGGAATCAGCCATTTCCCCAAGAAGCTCTAGTTCCTTTTAGTAGAGAATATTATTTAGAGACTGTCAGCTGGGTGCTAGGGTGAACTCTGTTTTTAATCATCTTTAATAATGCAGTAGTGAGATAAAATTCATGTTAGACTAACTAGTGATTGCTAGGCAGTAGTGGATACATTGTGCCACTATTCAAATGTGAATATAAAAGATAAAAATATTGAGCTAACAGGTAAGTCTTTGTAACTTATCCCAAGGTTTTAAAATTTTGGATATTTGTCTCTGTGGATATTCCAAAGCCACGTTTGGAGGAGATGCATTGATTGTTTCTGACTTTTGGTAACTCTCTACTAACCTCGTATGATCAAATCTCAGTCAGAGATGCTTTCACTGTATCAAGGAATCATATCCATATAAGACGCTAAGAGCAAGCAGACCCATGGAAATGACTCAGTGGGGAATGTGGTCACTGGTTAGGTATCTGTTTCCACAACTTGTAGTAAAATCTAAGACCCCTGAACTGTGGCTGTTTCCTGTTTTTCAGCATCTGAGATTCAGATGATGACACTTCCCCCAGGTCAGTTTGTGATCACAGACAGTGGCGTGGCAACTCCTGTCACCACCGGCCAAGTGAAGGCGGTTACTCCGGTAAGCTGCCCTGCTTGCAGGGTTTCCCTGTTCACCGCACTGCACCACCCTCGCCTTCCCCCGTCTTCTTCTCCCAGGCTTTTCCTATCTGAGTCAGAAGTGCCTCCTCTGTATTCCTGTTAGACCTTGTGGTGCTACATTATAGCACAGTTTATTTTAATTATTGGTTCACTGCCTGTCTTTTCCCAGTGGGCAATGAATGCCTTGAAAGCTAGATCTTGGTCTTGTTCTCTTAACCCTCAGTGCCTTGCACAGGAGGCTGGGCTACAGCAAATGCTCAATAAAGATCTACTTTGTTAATAACTGTAATGAACCTCCATAGACGTGTAGCTACGTATCGGTAACTGGCCACCTTTTCATGTGCTTCTTGGAAAGTAGATGAGTCTTGATGACTACTGGTCCTCAACTGAGTTGTGGGAGAATAATATAATGACTCTATTATGAAACTCTTTTATGTTATTTTAAACAGTCCACCCTCCCCAGGGTGAAAAACATAGCCATAAATTATCTTGTTATGTTTAGGTTAGGCAGGTCAGTGTTGATTATATCTGCTACCTCTTGTTTTTATCTTCACTCTGCCTCTAAGTTGTTAGAAGACAGAGTCTGTAAATTTAAATTAAGAAAAATACTCTTTAGTGGCTAGGGATACTGAGATGTTCCCAGAGGAAGACTATTTCCCAAGAGGCCTCAGAGAGTAGCAGGGCAGTCTCGTGGCCTGTTTTTTCGTTTTGTTTTTTTTTCAAAGCGTACTGAGTGCTTACCAATTTTTCAGCACACATTAACTAGACTTGATTCACATTAAGTAGATTTAATTAACTAGACTTAATTCACATTAACTAGGCTTAAGAGAGACGTATACATCCAGAGTAACACTGTTGTCAGTGAAAACAACAACTAATGTAAAATGAGTAGTCTCTTTGGCATGATCAGTGAGATTTTCGCTTTTTGTGGGACTCACTGACTGACTACGCTTTTCTGGCCGGGAACCCATTATATGGCCGAGGATGTTCCCTCCTCCCTGCCGTGGTACACATACATACAAATTTAATGTACAGTTTTGTTCATGGCTTCTCTGAAGGCCACCTCTGGACCACCTAGGCATCCATGGACTCCAGGTAGAGAACCAGCCCCCTCCTGCTACAGACTCACACGGGAAGTGAAACCCTGATCAGAGAGTTGCTTGATGAGCACGGACTCAGAACATCCAGCCTGAGATAAACCAAATGGGTGTCTGGCTGTGGCTTTCTCTCTGGATAGCACTAGGCAAGGCTACTGCCTTAGTTTTCCTCCGTGACTTCTTTGTTTCTCAGTCTATGCCGCTAGCCAGCCCTCCTTCTGATGGACACATTCTCTCTTGGAAGATGCTGACAGAGGGACAGAGCTGGCTGTAGGTCCATGGAGGCATTTTCATGATCAGAGGGAAAATTAAGACAATGAATGTTTTCATAAAATTGACTTTATTCAATGCAAATGACTTTATTCTAAGATTGTGTCTTACTATGCTTTTGAGTGTTGAAATGTCTCACTTGACAGTACCGTTTAAAAAATGATTTTACTTGGGAAAATAAAATTTGGGAATATGGATTATTTAATTTTGCTGACCTTTGAAATTCTGAAGTCTGAGAACCTTTGATCTTGACTTGGGGGCCTTTCTGCCTCTTCAAGGAGACTTTAAATATCTCTTCTTTGATCCACTTTGTATTAGACATTCATTGAAAGATAGTGACCTTATTTTATGAATTTCTAAATTCTTAGGGACAGCACAATAACACATTTCCTTTGCCAGGTAGGTTACCATCATGATGTAAATTTCTGTACCTGAAGTTCCTCACTGTATCACTTGGTAGGACTGCTAGGATGCTGTCTTAAATTACCTTGATGGCTTGTGTTTATGACTGAGCCATCCTTTCTGAAGGACGTGGGTGAAGCATCTCCCATAGGTAATTATTTTGGTTCCCCTTGTAACATTTCTTTGCATATTCCTTCTTCCTCCTCCCCCTTCCCCTACCCGACCCTGACCTTTAGGCCTTAGATTTCTAAAGATCTTCTTTTTCCCCCTGCTCTAGGGTCATTACGTGTTATCAGAAAGTCAACCAGAATTGGAGGAGAAGCAAGCTGCTGCTCTCTCCGGGGGGGTCCAGGTTCAGCCAGCTGCACACAGTGACTTGGACCCCCAGACCACCAGCCAGCAGCCCACACAGTACATCATTACAACCACCACCAATGGGAATGGGAGCAGTGAAGTGCACATCTCTAAACCTTAACTTCCATCCTTGAGCCAGAATCAAGCAGTCACATCATGTCTTTTCTCATTCATCAGTTTGGAAGCTTCTGACACTTAGAACTTCTTTTTCAGATTTATCATTCACTCAAGAGTTTGGAAATCACGGTTTTGATGCTCATACATACCCTGGGGCTTGTTTTATCAAGGTCACCTTTACCAAACTGACTCTCCAAAGCCTAGGAGTTTCTGCCACGGAATGGAGATCTTTCAGGGGAAAGTAGATTTCAAGATGGAGAAACTTTGCCTTGCTCTTGAGTTGGTTTTTCAACACATGGATAAGCCTTACTTTTCCTTTGTGGAAATATTAAGTGGTGTATAGTGTTTGTACCAAAGGTGGAGAAGGGATGTGCCAAGTCCATGGCCACTGGACTTCTTGATTCCAAGCCACGGCACCAAAGGAGAAGGGGCATCTTATGGGCGTGTGCTAGGTCAGGACTGCTTCATCTTGTTTGCATTTCAGTCATTTAACAGAGGGAGTCTATTGAATATGAAAATTAAAATGATGAAACAAAGGTTTGGCAGTGATGGTCTGAAGGACAAGCTGTCATCTCAATTTTTCTTACTGCTGATGTTTTTTTAAACTTGCCTTTTTTAGAAAGCGGTTGTTGGGCTGTTGGTAGTGCTTTCCACAGACGCTGGCCCTCAGCAGGTTAGGCTGGAACCTTGTGTTCTGCTCAGTCTCCCGTTATGACTCCACGACTGTGGACTCCCTGTACGAGAAAAGGTTGCTTGATGTCAGCAGATTTTAAACTTCCACGTGCAAGCTTGGCCTCCCACCCGCTGGTTGTGCTTGTATGGAGAAGACAGTGGAGATAACGGTACCAAGAAAAATGACTAAAACAGTTGTACTGAGAGACTAAGAAGCACTGAGACCATGTCCTGCCCGTTCTGCAGGACCCACTTACCCGTCATTGGTGAAGGGTGAATTTCCGCTCTTACCAAGTATATAGTCAACCCTTGCTCGTGCATTCCGTGTATTTTAGTACTTCTAATGCTGTCTTAAAATGAACATTCTTTAAGGTTGGGTAGAAAGGTGGTCCTCATTTTTTTTTTTAACACTTTTAACTTTAAAACATATTGCTACTCATCTGGGCCTTTTGGTAAGATGAGCAACTTCACATCTAAGGGGAAAATAAAAATGTGGGGACCATTTATAATATGTTAAGGTAACTATAAGGGATCTGGAAGAAATCCAGTCTTAACGTTGCACAGTCAGTTGGGAGAGGGAGAAAAATCTGCCTCAATGATGGTTTTCCTCATTTGTATTCCTATTTGGGAGTCCTGTTAGGTATGAATTCAGTGGGGGAAGACATTCCCCTTCTTTTTACTGTACATTCCAGTGGTACACACAAAACATTGCAGAAATCAGTATGTATTTTAACAACTCTTTGTGACATACTAATACATTTTTAGAATAATTATGGCATGATAGAATTTATCACTCCAGAACGGAAAGACCTACCTTCAGTTTCAAATGAAGTTAACTGATTTATTTTATTTACATTTCTGGGTAAAAACTGGTTCTGTAAATTAAGAAGTATAGTAACTTCTTTGTGGTAAAGACACCTTTCTGAAAAGTAAACAATTCTATTGAAGTAACTTTACTAATGTGTAGATTTTGCACTTTATTTTTGGGACCTTATTCATTTAGTTATCCCTGAAAACTTAGGCACTAAGAGAACTTGAGAGTTACTTGGTAATTGTGTAGAAAATGAAAATGCACTCTATATCTTTGGTAACAAAGACTTAATGCTGACGTTTTCAATAGAAAATATTGAATCTGTGTCACAATATAGAGATTTTGAGTCCCAAAGTCCTACAATGCATTGATTATAAATATCCTAGTGTCCAGTCTAGAAAGACTTGCTAGGTGAAGAATATTAGACTTTCCGAAAGGTCCAGTTTAGTTTTTATAACTTAAATCTGGCCCTGTTGGGTCTTTTTAAATTTGAACCAGCAAGGTACCTCCCTCCCCTCAGGAATAACTTATTGATTAACATCGAAAACTATCACTGAATGGAATGTTCATTTTATGCCAGTTATTTCAAGTTTTAAAACACACAGAAGAAAAAAAATATTGTGGAAGGACATCTGTTTCTTTCCCCTCTAAGTTCTTTTTTTCTCTCTTTTTGTTTTTTGTCCTTATGTGGAATAAGTAAAGACGCTAATTAAAACTAACTGGTATGTTGTCAACCAGAGATGCAGGTGTGGCAGTCAAGCCAAACAACATTGCTTTAAGATCAGGTATTCTGCACATCTATTCTAAGGTAACAGATTCTCGAAAGGACTTGGATTTGAAGAGATGGCAGATTATAAGCCATCTAAAGACCCAATTTGGAAAAAAATGTGTGTAGCCAACATCTATGTTGTGGCCTCTCCTAAGACACATTGGCACTGTAGATTTAAATCAGCGCGGTGTGAAAATTTTGGAGGTTACATATAGATTTTACATTTCTATTGTTTGATTTGTGCCCACATAAATAGACATTTCATCATGTAAAATTCTGGAAAAACCTATTGTTTTGATCTTCTTGTTTTCTGACTTGGAATTATCTTTTCAAAAAACTTAAGATACGTAGGGCTAAAAAGCACTTCATGAGATGCTAAAGCTGACCCACAGGTTGAAAATGTTGACCCTATCCTGTTATTTAAATGTGAACATTTATTGTACATTCAGTGAGTTATAGTGTTAATAGTCTTGTGCTACTCAGCAGGTGTAAAAATTAATAAATATTTTTTTTAATAAACACCTTCCTTGTTTGTATGTGTACAAGGTACAAGAGCTACTGAGATCATTACTTTTTTTTTTATGTTACAACTTACTTGTTTTGAGTCTGGTGTGGTCAGAGACGCAAGGTAAGGGAATTTATATATGACAACTGTGGAATGATGTTCCTCTGTCCTTGTACTTGATGGTTTCTAATTCGAGACCCCTCCCAGCAGTCTCACGGGAACTAGGGGCAGGCACGCAGCCAGCAGGGGAACAGAGATTGGTCTTTATTGGGAAACCACTATTTTCCAACAAGGGAGGAACATTAGTTTGGCTCACCAGTTTGACGTATTTCCATCCAACCTGGAGAACTGATGGTCTCTGCATGGCTGGTTGGCAGTAGTTGTGGAATAAGCGGTTTGAAGCTGTTCTAAGTAAAAATCAATGAAGAAGAAAGGGCCCTAGGTTCTCAACGAGAGGAAGGCTATTGAGCTTGATTTATTTAACATGTATTTCTTCGATGTCTGTACTGTATTTCCAGACAGCGAGGGTCCAGGGCCACAAGAGAGAAATGGGCCGGGCTGGGGCTGGGGGTGGGTGGTGGGCACAGGCTTAGGTCCGCATTCTCCTCTATGAAACTCAAGAAACCGCAAAATGGGAACTAATAGTGCACCCAGCTGTGGTATCATACTGGGTGGAAAGTATTCAGCACAGTGCCTGGAGCAGGGTATGCGCTCTGCAAACGTTAGTTAATAAAATTGCATTCACTCACTCTTGTGCTCCGGAGCCTCAATTCGCGGCCAGGTAAAGACTAGCGACACCGTCTTTGCCCTCCGAGAGCTTCTAAACCAGGTGAAACCAACAGGCTAACTGCAAACTGCATCCCAAGCCTCAGTCAAGCGGGTTTCTGCAGCTCCAGGCTCCGCCCCGCATGCCCCGCCCCCGGCGCCCCCAAGCCCCGCCC